CCCCAAAACCCCAAAACCCCAAAACCCCAAAACCCCAAATTTATGTTAAAAACTTGACCCATCTTAATAATAAATTACTTTCCTTGCCAAACCAGAGTACCTACTTACCCTTGCTCCACACCTCATTATTATCCATCCTACCAATCATCTCATCCTTCCTCTTCAACACAAGTCTATTCTCCTCCCCTTTCGCCTTCTCAATAACCTGGACCATCCTCTTACTCTCCTGCAACGAGTCCTGTATCTTCTTATGCTTATCTATAACCTCACTCTTAATATGAATATTTTCGATTCTCTTAAGTCTTTGCCTTTCTTGCTCGATTTCTTGCTGCTTGATCTAGAAGTGTGAGTGGGATGGAAGGGAAGGAAAGAGAGGGATAGGAAGGGATGGTGGTGGAGGAATGTATCTAGGGTTAGGGGATTGGGATGAGGATAGAAGGGTTTAAAGGTAGTCCTGGGATGTTAGTGGATTTGAGGAAATAAATTGATATTCAAAATTCTAGATACGAATTTTGGATGTTGGTAATGATAATAACTTAGGCTTACCTTGTGAAGTTCACGTTTGAGCTGGATCTGCTTCTGAGTGTTCTGCTTGATCTCTTCTACTTTCTCCATGTTCCTCTTCATCTTCTTCATGAGCTGTTTCTTCCGAGTGTTGTCTACTATTTCTTGCGAGTGTAGGATTTGTTGTTTATTTATCAAAATTAGTGTTCATCGTTTTCTTGAGGGTTTTAGCAAAATTTCTTTTCTGCTTTTGAAGCTTGGACAACTTCTTTATGGTCTTACTCTCTTTAAGGACGATGTCATTCCTCCTAGACTGGTAGATATCCTCCTGCAAGCTCTTATACCTCTCAAGCTTAGTCTTTGTCAGTTGATTCTTCTTATGAGCCTCATTAATCCTTTTACTCAAAATACTCTCATGAACTCTTTCCGACCTCTTCTGCTTATTTTCAATGACCTCCAATCTCTCCATAGATCTCCTAAACTCAATCTCCTCCATCGACTTCATATGGTCAATAACCTTCCTCTGTTTCTCTGCATAATACATATCCTTTTCCTCTAATTTCTCCCTAATCGTTGCCATATTATTACTAATATTCTCATTAGCCCTCCTTTCACGCTCTCTGATTGCCTTCTGAATACTGCTCTTCTTCCGTTCCTCTTCAAATAGTATCTGCTTCTTCTTTTCCTCATGCTTAGTCTCTAATTTCTCCTTCTGAGCCCTTTTCTGGTTGACCGCCATCCTGATAGTCTTTTGGAACTTCTTGATCTTTTTAGACTCCTTTTCTTCCCTTTGCTTCTCTTTAGCCATGACTTCTTGGTCATGCTTGACCATGAGCTCCATTTTTCTAGAGATTTTGTTTGGGTCGAGTGCTCTAGCTGTCTGGGGCTCTTTGAGTTGCTCAAATCGGGATTTTAAGAGGCTAAGCTTGCCCACTGATTTCATACTTGTCTCGAAATTCGAGGTTTTAGGGTTTCTAGTGGATTTTAGAAGTTTAGCGTTGTATTTATCAGTATATCTGAGGTTTTCTTGTTCTTCTAGGACTTTATTTACCATCTTGATTAACTTCGTAGTGTAATGTTCGTACCTGAGGTTAATTATATCCTCAGTATCACTCTTGGTTTCTCTGAAATCTTTCTTTTCTCTATGAGGTGATGTTTAGGTTGAATCATTTTAACTCTAGAAGGTTTCCCTGGCTTAGGCTGCCATAAAACTTAAAGTTGATATTCTAATTTCCTAGTTAACTTACTTGACAGTGAAATCGCTTTCAATATACCCACATTTTCGCATTGCTTTTTGAGTGTAGTATGAATCTAGGTCAAAGTAGGTATTTGCAAGCTGATTAATTGACTTTATAGATGAGAGCCTATGTTTCCTTTGTGGACTCTCTGATCTTGGGTTCATTGATAAAATTTTTATAATATTTTAGAGATTTATTTGGGGTTTTGGGGTTTTGGGGTTTTGGGGTTTTGGGG